CCCCTCTTTCCTTCTGTTCTCCCAGCCTCCGGGGAAAATCGTGGACTTTGGGAAAATAGCAAAATGAGTGTTTTCTCAAAGCGCCCCCTTCCCCCAATTTCCCTGGTCTTCACCCCGTCTATCCCTCGCCTACTCACATTATCAGCCTGCTATTTTTGTTTTTTTATTTTTTCCCACAGTGCCTTTAGCTGTGTGCTCTGAAAAGAGAAATCACAGGTCACCTGAGGTCAAGAAAAGGGGGGAGAGATGAAGGGGTGAAGTTGAAAGGCTGGAAAACTTGCTTGGTTAGTTTTGAGATGCAGGAAATAATTTCCCCTGTGGTGTTTTGTAGGATTTGAGAGAGGAAAAGAACTGAGAGCAGGTTAGAGGAGGAGGTTTCTGGAAGTGGAGGATGGATATATAAATAAAAAAGAAGAATGAGAGCGCGGCCGTTTTCAGACATGAACACATTGGCTTTCACATACAAAGAATACTGGCCCTTATCACAGAAAGACTCAAACATTTGCCTTCTCACATACAGCCCCTCCAAATAATTTCAGTTCATGTGATGAATCCAAACATTTAAGAATTAGGGGGGAGATGAAAGAGAAGCAAAGGGAAATGTGCGCACATGTTAGAAATAGTACAACCCAGTATTTATGAAATCTATTGTTGAGAAACACTACGGCGGTGTTATCACAATATTAAGTTCTGACAGAGTCCACCTCTCTCTGACCTACGATGCCTCGTGAACTACATTTGACCACCAGCTGAATCTTATCCTCTGTTTTATTTCATCCTCTGACTCATTAGAACAAGTGTCGAGAGAGCAGCTGCAGATAAAATAAAAAAAATGTCCAATGGGGGAATTATACAATTTGGCAAAACAGACTTTTTCCACTGAAGGGAAACTGAGATTGTTGTAACTTTGTTGAACAAAGAACTGAAACTCTGAAGTCCTGACAGAAACAAAAGAATCTGCAAACCACTGTTGTCCTTCTCCTTTACAGAGTTCTGCTTCTCTCCTTTTCTCTGCTCATGAGAAAATGTGTGTTCTCAGATCGTAAGCAGCTTCCATTATGGAAAGCCCCCGTCATCCCTCCTGTGGCATATCTCTGCTCTTAGTAAACTCTATTTCCATATTCCTATTCATCCACGGATAGAGACGGCATGAGCTGGCATGGAAAATCCCACCTCAGTCTAAACACACATACACACACCAGCCCAGCATTACAGCTTGGATAGATCGCTGCGATCTTAACTGAGGCCTTTCAGGAGAATTTAACGTCCTCCCTCCCTCTCCCTCCTTCTCTTCCCACATACTCTGTCCCTTCAGTACCAGTCTGCCTTCCACCTCATGAGTTTACATTTGGAGCCGAGTTCACAGAGGCACAGTGACTCGCGTCTGGTATTTTTTCATAAACACAGACTTAAAGGTAAAGGGGCACAGGAAGGAATATTATGACAGTAACTGCTTATCACACGAGTCAGTTCTCCGTCTCGACTCCCTTGGAATAAAACCGAAAAGGAGACAACAGTCTTGCCAACATGCAATGAATTCAATTCAGCAAAAAATGCACAGCTCGATTTGTTTTAGTGTTTAGTGAAATTGTTAAGTGGCAAAGACACTTTTAGAGAAACACAGTTAAGACCCTAATGAAATGAATGTGACTGAGGTCCCCCAGGGGCCACTGTGGGTGACTTTCTGGAGCTTAACTTGACAGTTTGAATTAGAGGCAAGATAGAACACGAGACAGGCAGATATCATCAGAGCACAACTCACACACACTCTCGCAGACATTTATGAATTCCTGCCTGAGCAAAAACATTCTTATCAAATCTGTACATTTACGATATGAGATGCAACTGTGACCTGCAAATATCCTGGAACAATAAAAGTAGATAAGAAAGCAGCAGACAGGCCTTAGCAAAGCAGTAATCTTTAAGATCAGATGCATATAACTATAGTAAGTGATCAAATGTGGTTATGGTATAGCATTCAGGAAGCTCAGACAGTTGCCTATACAACTTTTGTTACACAACATGACTTGGACTGTCCCAGGTGACTTGAGACAATGACAAGATCTTAGACTTGACTGGAAAACATACTCTGAAAAGCCTGCAGTAACAAATGCAGCTAAATTCTGATATGCAAAGGTGCAATGCAAACAAATCCCTCAAGTTCAATAAACAAATCCATTGCACAATCATTCAGTCTATGGGTACAATCCACAGCAGAAGTGGATCATTTCTGCATATCAGCTGTTGTGTAGCGTTTGTTATGTTACTGTCGGAGCAGACTGCAGAGACGGGAGGAGACTTTGACTTGAATATCAGTCAGCAGCCTGATAACGCTGCTGTGACCTTGACTCACGGAAGCGATCGCACACACACAACCTCCAGTGTAAAAACAAACTCCTCAAGCGGACGAGCTCTCACCTCCTTCTCTGGTGCGCAGCTCCACCCAGGGCGACCAGGCCGACGGGCCCTGGCTGCTGTGACAGGCCACCCTCACAGTGTAGAGGCTGTGGGGCTCCAGGTCCCCGATGAGGTGGGTGGAGGGTGGGATGTTCACATTCTGGTTGTGGATCATCTTTTCTGGGCCCTCGGCAAGCGTCTCTCCCAACTGCCTGGCCTGGAAGACAGAGATAACAAACTTATATTTGATTTTAACAATGGGTTTCAGATTGTGTGGTCAGATTTGGTTTAATGCTTAATGGCACAAGCAGGACGAGAACGCAGTTCTTAGTGCAATAAATTGATAATGGCACATATGATGGAGAAATCGATTCCAACATGTTCCGGATTTTAGATGAAGCCAAAGACAGCCAACCAAAGCTTAACCTGGGCAAGTAGACACAAACTCAGAGCAACAACACGTAGAAACATAATGTTTGAGATAGAAAGCAACTCGGGTCAAAATGGAAATGTCATCTGAATTAACACTATTAATTAATTGTCTTATTGACCAATATCTTAATACAGAGGGTTAAAAACTGTTGTGAAAAATAATGTGAATTAAAAAGCTGCTATGAAAATAACTAATCTAAGTGTAGCATTAACATTTGTGTCAAATCACTTTAATGACTTTTTGTAATAAATATGTATGTCTCTTTTATTTAATTTACAGTATACAATGGGTTAAGATGTCAAAACTAGAATAAAAAAACATGTCTTAAGTTGGCAGACTTGTTTGGGAGTTATTGTGGAGGAAAATAAAGGCGGCTGTTGTCTGTACATAATGTTTGGAAAGTTGACGATCCTTTCGTGTTAATTGTGCAAAATGGTATAAACTCTGTCTGAACGTGACCCAGGCTCAGCAAGGTGCACTAAAAGCAGAACTCATTAACTGAAGAAACCTGCTGCTTCTGCAAAGCCTTGCTCTTAAAAAACACTTTCAAAGAGGAACACAAAGCAAACAAATCTTGAAAACCACATGAAAGTTGCTGGTTCATTGTTCTCTGCTGCACCGGCTCATTATCAAGAGGCTCCTGCAGGCAACATGCTGCATTTCACAGTCAGAGCTGGACTGAACAGTGGAGCTACAAATCAGATGAACAGTAACAGATTAGCTGTGTGTGTGTGTGTGTCTGTGTGTGTAGTCCAGGTATTCCTCATGTTGTGGGGACCTGTTTACAAACTCACATTATGGGGACTTGTCTTCCTTATGGGGACAAAAAGCAAATCCACTTAGGTTTAGGTAAGGTTTGGTTTAGGTTAAGGTAAGGCTTAGGTTTGGTTTAGGTCAGGATTAGGTTTAGGTTTTGGCTAAGGTTTAGGTCAAAGTTTGGTTTAGGTTTGAATAGAGTTAAGGTTAAGGTCTGGTTTGGTTTGGTTTGGTTTGGTTTGGTTTAGGTGAGGATAGGGTTTAGGTTTAAGTTAAGGTAAGTTTGGTTACGGTTAAGATAAGGCTTAGGTTATTGTTAAGGTCAAAGTTGGGTTTCTGTTAGAATAAGGTTAAGGTTAAGGTTTGGTTTAGGTTACTGTAAGTGTGGAAGTGAAGTGAGAATAGTTAGAGGGTAACGGTTTCCATAAGGTAATGTGATCTCCCACACTGTTATGATAATGTTTGGGGGTTAGTGTGTTTGTGTGTGTGTGTGTGTGTGTGTGTTATGTACTGCTTTGGCAGTAACTTTTAAAAAACAACAGGAGTCTGAGTTATCTGAGTAATGTCATGTAATATTAGATAATTTGAATGAGTGTATGACTGCTGTGTGTGTCAGAGACGTGGTGAATCACTGTGCAGCCAACAAGTGTGTTTAATCTAATTGTACAGCTCAGCTCTGAGTCTGAGTCACACTTCAGCTGCATTCCCCTCGCATGGCTCAGACTAACTGTACCTGCTGCCTAAACCCTAACCTTTCTTCCTTCCTTCATTCCTTTATCTGTTTGTTTTTTCCTTCCTTCTTTTTGTTTCTCGTTGCCACACAAAGAAAAGTTAAATTCAGATGATTTTTGCCCCATTCTGCTGAGGCTGGCCCCTCGCCTTGTTCCCCTGTGGTTGAGGGAAGACCGAGGGGAAGGGTGGGGTGAGAGGGGAGAAGGAAAGAACAGCGAGAGGTATGAGGGGCAGCTTTATTAGAACCAGACGTTTAGGGGTGGTGCTGCACTGCTCCCTTCTCCAGAAGAAAATAGTTCCCCGGCTCTGCTACGAGCTGGAACGGCCACAGAGCTGGAGAGTGGCAGAGAGACACTGACAGAGAACAAGAGAGAGAGGGAGTGGTGCTGGTCCAGGAGGCCACTTTCCCAGAGTGAAACCTGATCCACTGGTGCAGGAATAAAGCAGGGAGGGGTAGAGGATGAATTAAGACAAGAAAAGAAAAGAAAGACCTCTTTTCTTAAAAATCAGGCCTGGAAAAAGGTGCGACTCTGTTCTGCACAGTCCCACAAACAGAGTGATGAGTTTATTTAACACACAGGTCAAACAGTTGCAGTGATTTTTCCAGGCTCATTTTCTCAGCTACTTGTGGTATTCTCCTCTCTCATGTTCATCTCACATTGTCTCACCTGAATGGAGCAGCGGATTATCGGGTAGTCGCCTCCAAAACCCGGCTGCCACGATAAACGCAGACTGGTCTGAGTGACCTCCACCGCTCTGAGGTTCTGAGGCTGCAGTGGAAGAACTAGAGACAAGAAAGAAAGACAGGGATAAATAACAACAAACCAGAAAAAGTTTTATTAAAAAGGCCTGACAGGGGTGTTTGTGCCACCTACCAGTGATGGTGCCGGATCCAGACGTGGCCACACCTTTGCGGTTATGAGCTTCACAGGAGAAGGTGCTGGTCCGGTTCAAACCTGGACGAAAAGGTCAAAACAACACACATTTAGAACACAGAGTGCTGAGTTGCAAATAATAATTATGTGAGAAATGATGTGAAAGTTTAAAGTGAAGTGAGAATAGTTAGAGGGTAACGGTTTCCATAAGGTAACGTGATCTCCCACACTGTTATGATAATGTTTGGGGGTTAGTGTGTTTGTGTGTGTGTGTGTGTGTGTGTGTG